AAAAAGTGCATACTGGCAATTCTGAGGAGGAAACTCCTCTAGCACCAGGAGTAAATTTGATGTATAAATGTCTCTCAGGTTGCACATGAGATGACCAGATCATCCCACAGGACAGTTGCTGGGGAGGATGTGGCTCCTTTTACCCACAGACGTCCTTGCTGTTTCCTCTGGTGGAGGACTCGTACCAGAAGCCACATTCTGCCTAGACAGGAGACTGGTGAGTGTTAGCCAAAGCTCTCCACCAAAGAAAACACCAGGGCTTTTGTGACCTTGCTTCTAAGCACAGGCGCAGGGAGGAAATGCGAAGTGTGGAGTGGGGATGTTCATGGGCATAAACTGGCTTGGCACATGGCATGGAGGTGAATGAAATCACTATGGGTTAAATTCAAGGGTTAACTTCACATATTGCAATYGAGAGAGGTGATTGGTGGACTTATTTCACTCTGGACAAGAAAGAGATTTGAATGGCTATTTTAATATTTTGTACTGGACACAAACATTCTCTGAGTTTTGGTTTAAGTAATTATTCAAATAAAAAGTAAGTGAATAAATACATCTACCACTTATTAGAGGTGTGATATGCCTAAGAAAAGACAGTCATTTCTTTTTAAAGATGTTACTGTCCTTTATTTGAGGCAACTAATTTTGCTATTAATTAATGCTTTTAAATGATACAAAGTATATGTCTATCCTTGCACATTGTCAGAGGAAATTTAGAATGCCATTAGAGTAGTAATGACAATTAAGATCATCTCTTCTTTGTATCACGTCTTAATTATTTCCAGAGATAATTATTTGTAATTATTTAAAATACATTTAAAGATGTATTTTAACTTAAATGAGTATGTGTWATTTTTCTCTATTCCCAAACACTTTAACTACAACTCAAAAAGGGGACCCGATATAACAATAGTGTTTCAATAAAAATTCAATAATTTTCTAAAACTCTGGAGTGAATCAATTCTTTTTTGGCACTTACGTGACAGTTACTATGAAGAAACAACAGATGTCATCTCAATAAGCTATAAGTCTAAATTCATTAAATTTCAACATCCCAATTTCATCAAGCTTCAAGTTCTAATACAATGAATTTTTTTGAAAGTTATCATCACTTTAAAGCTGATGAAAACAAATGCTTGTCTTTTCCTGGGATTGCTTCCTGTCTCTCCTCTGCCTCTCTGTGCATGTTCCTCACTAATCACATGTCACTTAYGTATCACTTGATTAAGGCAGAGTTGGGGAGAAAGGGGGAGCTTTGGCTTGCTGACTGCCTTTCAGTGGGGTTTGTTTCTCCGACTCTTGATGGCAGCACCCACTTCTGCCTGTGAAAACCAGTGGATGGGGTGAGGATTCCATAAGGGGACATTCGCTTATTTTAATCTCCAGTGGATTTTTCTATTGCATAGAAATTTTCATATATTTCAATCCTATAGAGCAGAGATAGTTTGTGAGAGKACAGGAAGGAAGGATGGTGAGTTAAAGCATTTTCATATCTCAAAGGAAGTGGTGCACCTAAGTTAAATCATGACTTGGGTCATCAAAATGAAAATACAATTTACTGATGGTTCAGAAATACCAGGGTGAGGTTTCAAATATTTTTTTTTTATTTGCAAAATGGATCCAAACACACAKTGGTGAATTTTACTAAGTTGCCCTTCTTGAAGCAAGTTTTACCTGGAATGGGTGAATCAATTATTTTGGAGTATTCTACTGACTACATAACGACATAATGACCCTTTGTTCAGCAAATAACCACCTAGGGAGAAAGCAACTCAGAGTTTGGTAAATTAGTGCTAAATCCATGAGCATGGGATCCACAGGAACTGAAGATTATTGATTGAGCAATTTCCATTCTTAGTTTAGTTACATGAATATGGAGCTTACCAGAACTAAAGATTGATTGAGATTTTTTTTTTACTCAAGTTACTTACATGCCTTTCCTTTATAAAAATTCACTACAGAAATTGAATATTAGAATGTCTAACAACCTACACTCTTATGTAGCTTGTTCATAACTAATCTCTACTTCCCTTCTGCTGGTTATATCAGGTGGAACAAGGCCAACATGTAGCCACTTGGTTCAATCCTAACAATACTCTGTGTATCACTTCCTCTATTTTAGATAACAACGCTTTTGTAAATTAAATAATGGATAAACTTCTCAACACTCACCAGGTACTTAAATTCAAGAAATATTATGCTTTCATACTTTTGCCCAGGATTGGAACAAATTTCTGTGCCCTTATTAGCTAGCAATCATTAAAACGGGACTGAAAGGTATAAACACATTGCTTCAACAGCACCCGAGCACTCTGCATGCATTATCTTTGGAAAACAACCACATGCCCACAGTTGGAAAGCCCAGCAAGGAAAACCAGGATATGTCTTGTTTACCTTTATGAACAACAAGCCAAAACCAACTTAAGAGCCCATGCACAAGAGCACCGTCAAAAGAGAAAAGCAGACAAAGGTATTTTAGAAACCTTATCAACGTGTCCTACAGTTGCCAAACCTTGACAGTGTTCTACCATTCAAACTGCACCTTGTAACACCTACAGGCCACCCTTACAGGCTTTCTATTTAAACTATGATCACCACCTTCCTATACTATTGTTCCTCATTAGGATCTGTGTCCCCACAGATCTACTACCAAAGACAAACAGGCAAAACCAGCTTCTGATGAGGTGAGGGCAGAATGGCTCCACGGACTTACCTGTTTTTCCCTGAATGAATATCCAAACGAAGTTGAATGATAATGAATCCTGCCCTTCTGCACAGTTTCTTCCTTGTTTTACTAAGAGAAACAACTCCTCTGGGTTTTCTATGCCTGCAACCTTGGATGTGTAGCCAGCTTGCTCACACGCTGGTTTGAGGACCTGCTCACTGGCTCTCACCCCACCCTCTCCTCCTTTTCCAGGAGTTCACCGGGCTCTGCTTAGAGTCAATAGTTTCTCTGCCCTCTTGGGTCTTAGGACCCTACAACAGGATTGGTTGGCTGGTCTCTCACTAACCACAGTGCTGCCACACACCTTTCTGCCATCTATGCCTAGCAAAAAGTTAGAGAGGGGAGTGGGAGAGGGCGGGGAATCAAAGGATGCTTTTGTAAGCTAAAGAGGCTTGGCTGAAGTTAGACAGCTCTCATCAGGGGCCGAGCCTGTGTGTGTGTGTGTGTGTGTGTGTGTGTGTTTGCTCCCCGCCCCCAACCCTTTCTCCCCAATGACCATATCTTTCCTCCATCCTCTGTTCAGCTCAGATCGTGTGCTCTTTCAGGGTTCTTGGTTTTGAATAGTTACTCTGATGCACTGCCATGCCTGAAATGGATGGTTTGCAAGCTCCTGTGTTCCACATAATTCCGCGGATGATCTGATAGCCAGATTCTACACGGGCAGGGAACCGTTCTTTGACAGAAAATGATCAGCTTCCTAGGACCAGAGGAGCTTGCTCTCTGGGGCTAAGGACCCGGAGACTGACCACGGTGGCCTGTGCTCTGGCCTTGGTGCTGAATTAAGCACCTGCTCCCTAGCCACATCGGCGGCCCTGGGAACTTTGGCCCCATTGGAGAGGAACCTGCCAAGCGCCCTCTCGCGGGTCGTCAACAGGCAGCTGGGCACAGCAGATGCCTGGGATCCTCCACAGGGCACACGGCTGATTATTTCTTTGCCAGGAGCTGGGAAAGTTTTGTCCGGCATTTTCCCCCCTGTCACCAGCGCTGCCTTCTCCCTCCCACCTGGGTCGCCATGGAGACTAGAGCTCTCTCTGTTTCCTTCTCCAGGCAAAATGGGGGAAGCTCAGTTAGCTCATCGCTGACTATAGGAAGCCCCCTTTTCTTTCTAAGCGGTTCCCAGGCATCCCCATTCTCTGTTTCTCAGCGAAAAAAAAAAAGGTAGGCAGGGACCCGAGCTAATAGGGAGGTGGTATTGCACCTTGTGCTGCGGGGCTCCCTGGGACCTCAGACTTCGGATGAAGCAGTCCAGTCAGGAGCCACTTTAAACATATTATGAATCTCCAACTCCCAAACGCTGGAGGGTTTTCTCCTCTTTTTTTGGGGGGGGGGAGGGGGAGGAGGAGAAAGGATTCTTTGGAAAATTCTGGTATTTTGTTTCTCCACTAACCTCATCTCATTTCGGTGGCTGCTTCTATTAAGATATGCTTCCCCCCCAGAGTCTCTCCATATTGAGTCTAGTCAAAAGATGTACCTGTGGATCCACCTATGCTTTTTTTTTTATTATTGGGTTTGGGGAATACTAATGTTTTCTTTTTCAGTTAAAAACTAATTCAAGCTTAATGTCTTGCTGCAAATGAAAATACACCCAGGAGGAAGCAAAGTCAACCAATTCGCCCAACCCTCTAAATGCCATGAGCATCTCATTTTATCTGAAGGGTGTTTTTCCCCTTCCAACTACAGAATAATTCAGTTTACTTCTAGGGAGATCTTCTTGTTCACTGTTTTTAGTTATGTCCACATCTCCGGGTTTACTGATAGAGAACAGTTAGGAGTTATTCCTCATCTTATTGTCTATTTCTCCCCCACCTCTCACTTTTCCTCCTTGTTTTCCTCTTCTCCTCTCTCCTCGTTATGCAAAAGCAGACCAAGGATACAGCTTTGGATAAAGACAATGGGCTTTTCCCGACTGTAAATGACTCCACCGCAAGCCTCCCCTGCCAGTTCATGAGTACATTTCGTCTTTGCCGGCGGATGTTGAAATGGTGTCTGCAATAACCGACTGGGTTCCTCCGAGCCCAGGGCATGCAGACCCCTCCTCCCCCCGCCCCCCGTGCGAGTTTTCAGTTGCTAATGAAAACCCTAGGAAACAGATTTCCCTCGGTTATGTAACCGGCTTCTCCCTTGCCTCTCGGTGGACTTGGGCATCATGTTTCTCGTCGGAGTGGAGGTGCAGGCAGCTGGGGAGGGGGGTGGGGGCCCGAGGGCAGGAACAGAGAGCGTCTCGCCCGGCTCGAGGCCAGCTTCTCGCCTTCCAGCAACTCGGCGCCCCGCTTACCTGGTTGCGGACAGGGTGGTCTCACTCAATCATGATCTCTCTTGAGCGGAGCAAGATTTAATAATTCACTCCACGATGGATGGCGAGGGCAGGAAATACAAAAACGAGAAGGAAACCAAAAACTGGAAGCAGATGGTCCGACTTCACATCAGCCCCGGGAGGCTGTTAGGAGACTCCATTCTCGCGGTCCATCCAGCTCGGGCCCCAGCTGGCGGGTTCCCGCGGACCCCCACCCTCCGCCCGCCAACCTCTCCAGCCAGGTGCGGCCGTCTTCAGACTGGCTCCCTGTGGCCGAGAGTGGAGCGGAGGGCTGGGCGCTGGGACCGAAGGAGGGGCGGAGGGGTGCGCGTTTGGGCAGGCACGGGGGAGGGAGACCCGGCGGCAGGAAGGGGGAAAAGGCAAGAGTGACAGAAAAAAAATGTTCCTGGGTTCGGAGCAAAGTGGTGGACCACGCAGCGAGACGTCATGAGAGCCGCAGATTCRGTGAATGCTACTCAGTTCCAGCCGACTGGCCGAGCCGCGCTGTCAGCTCACCCACCGACGCGACTCTGGCAAAACAGCGTGCGCAGCGCCGCGCGCTGGGGAAGTGCGGCCGCACAGCGCGTCCGCGGGAGAAAGGGGGCGGGGGCGAGAGCCGGGAGCTGGACCCCGGACGCCCACCCCGCCGCCCACCCCGCCGCCCATCCGCTCTGTTATTTTAGATGGCGGTGGAGCGAGGCCGGGGAGCCGGCGGGCGCAGAAACCACCCCCCACTCCAGCACGAACCTGGAAACGTGGGTCCTGGGGGAACCTTTTGGGTTTAGTTCCCCAGACCCTACCTGTCACCCATGTCACTGGGTTATTCCTGGGGAAACACCTAGGAAGTAGGAGAGTCGAAACTCGCCGATCAGTTTTTGTCTGTTGGTTTTAAGGTCCTTAGTTTGGGGAGGGGGCGTGGGGAGAGTATCAGGAGAAAGGGGGTCTGTCTAGTCTCTGGGACTGGGGCTGAAATCCCGGGGAGGTAGCCCCGGCGCCAGAGCTGGAGCTTGCACGTTGTCCCCTTGGCCGGGAGGGGGAGCAGCGAGCAAGCTAGGTCGGAGGGGCGGGGCCGCGCCCCAGGACTTTCCTGGCACCTGGTAGTGACCCACTCTGCGAGTCCACTCAGTCTGTCCTGTCCACCCCTACTGGGGCGTGGTACCAGCTGCTGCATCACCCCACACCCACTTTGGGTTTCAAGGAGACAAAGAATGTGATCTTTTCCGAGCATAATCTGGACTACTTGAAAAACTGAATTGTTGGGAACCCTTCTCTGACCATCACCTGCTCCTGGCTTTGAGCTTAACTTGCATTGTATTGTTATTTCAGGGACATCTTGTAGGGCTCCCCTCCTGCATCTCCTCTTTTTCTTGTGGTTGTTGCAAACAGTAGTTCTTCATTTCCAAGGGCTTCCTACAAGTTGCTTCTATCTATGAACAAACCTTTCTTTTATGCCATCATTTCCTTTTGGAGTCATAGATTGACAAGTAAATTGTAAAAGCAACTAAAACTATTGGTTTATACTTTTATAGTGGGTCTTTCAATAATAGACAAAGTGGATTTCCTTCCACAAGACACCGAATCTTCATCCAAGAAGGCGAACCTATTCTATAGAAAGAGCTCATCAAGACCTCATATTGCCAAGATAATTTTGTTCTACATTCACACACTCTAATGACACAGAAATTCTGCCCCTCAAGAACACTGACTGCTCTCTAAAGATGACTTTGCCTTAATCGGCATCATGGAGGCACAGATCTTGGGAGCTTGTATTTGTTGTTGATTTTTCCCTGAGAGGTTGAAATCCAACCTGCTCTTACTTCTGAGTCCATATCCCCCGCACAGAAGATATTAGTAATGTCTAACATGTGATTTTTATGCTCCATAGGGTCTGCTGGATCTAGTAATTGTGTCAGAGATAAAGATAAACAAGAAACAACTGGACCAAACAATCCCTGAGGGGCTCCAGTGAGGACACAAGATGCAGGATTTGGGTGGAACAGCCCTGGAGCATTAAAAGAACAGCACATCTTGACAATAGTTGTCTAAAGAACACTCTATTTAATCTGCAAAGCTGCTACAGATCTGCCTGCTAATTTTGTTTTTGTATATGTATGTGTGTGTGTATGTGTTTGGATTTCCACCAGTCGAAGGGTTTCGCAAAGTCTCTTTCTTACAAGATGTTAGGCTAAATAAGAAAGTCAAGAACTGGAAATAACCTAGTTTTCTCCTTACATGCTTGGAAATCTCCCTAACTTAAAGCAGCTTCCAGCAAGGTGTGGGCTTCTGTTCTTTGAGAACGGCTAGGAGCACAAGATGGGTCACATTAGCATGCATGGGGTTTGATTAATGCCAGAGACAAGAACAATTGGCTTAACTAAATTCATTTCTTCCCTGGAGCCCAGACAGTGATCTGCACTGGTGTAACTAACAGGAATCTGTGGCAACATCTGAAAATCAGGAAGCTGTTTATCAGAGATGCAAATTGCCGTTACTCTGAGTTCTCTAGAGCTTGTCTCTCGAAGGCCTGTGCGTTGTATTCAGCGTGTCCGGGGCCTCACTTTACACATTTGTTTTATGATTTCTGGTGAAGGCAAGGGAGCTATTCTGGGTGGACCAGAGCTCCAAATCTGATATAAATGGTGGCTTTTAGGATTCATTGATTATTTTATATAAATGAGCCAGTACCTCTTCCACATATCAACTGCAATAGAGGCTTATTAGCTAGTAAAATTGACAAACTGAATTACCTCGACAGGATGTCATTTGTTATGGGCAATCTCRTTTTTTCCTCCTTTATCGATTGTGGTAATTTATAGCCCAGTCTAGTCTATCTCTCTGGGCCAGGCATACACATGGCCTTCTCCTGAATAAGCTGCTACCACAGGTGTTTACTGGGGGTGGGGTCTGGCCTCTGTTTCAGGGCTTGTTGTAGATTTGAGGCCTTAGTGTGGTGTGGAAATCTAGTTCTTCCTTTCCCGTTCCTTGTCCGCCTTTATACACTTGCACACCAACACACATACAATCCTTAAAGTGAGAGGAAGGACATATTCGTTTTAAAAATACAATTTTGTCCATAAAAGGACATCTTAAAGAGTATCAAGAAAAAAGTTTTGAAATTATTCTATCTACAGTTCTAATTCTAGTGGACTAAATGGATTTCATCCATGTTTCTTAGTTAGGGACTCTCCATATACAGTAGTTGCACTCTTTTTTTTTCTTTTTTCGCTGCTTGTAAATGTAGAGATGCATTCTTAAGAAATATTCCCAGTGGCTTGGGAGGCTGAGGCAGGAGGACCCTGAGTTCAATGCCAGCCTCAGCAAAAGCAAGGCACTAAGCCACTCAGTGAGACCCTGTCTCTAAATAAAATAAAAAATAGGGCTGAGGAGGTGGTTCAGTGGTCCAGTGCCCCTGAGTTCAATCCACAGTAACCGCACCCCCCTTGCCCTGCAAGAAAAAGAAGTGTCTCCAGGAATAGAAGATGAAGAACTTTGGTGAAGAAAGGAGTTTCTTGTGGTCCCAAGCATGTAAGGTCTTTGGCACTTCTATTCCCAATTATTCAGTGACTACTTCCACTTTTCCTGATCCATTTTCATCTCCTACACATTTTCCTTATTTTGGAGCTATCTATATTCACTAGTCTAACTAATCTTAAGTTAGCACTACTTTTAAATGTTTTGACATTATATATTTTTAGTTTGATTTCATGATGATGAGAGGTGTAGTCCAGAGATTCATTTGATAGATTCTTTCTTATAATGTTTGATTAGTTCACTGTGTAGCATGTTCAGCCTTTTTAATCACAGTTTTCACCCAAGAATTCACTAAAGTGCAATTTWAAAAAAAAATCATAATAGCTTCAAATGCATTTTGAAAGCCCATGGGAGATAATGATTACAAACAAGGAATCATAAAGGAAACCTGGTTTTCCTGCCTATTACAAGAAGTGATTCTAATTAACATTACATCTGTACAAAAGAAATACTCCAGGCCAAAATAGGGGAATTGAATTTGTAGGATGCTCTTTCTGTGGTTAATCATTTGCTAAAATGCCCAGAATCTTAAAAAAAAAAAAAAATTAAACAATACTCTTAGAAAAGAGGCTCTGAGCTGGAGAGCATGTGAAGGTCCCTCTCTGTGTGCTATTATAATTGTGAGTCACCTCTGTGGTCACATGGGACATCCAGCAATAGGCCACACATGGACCACGTGGCTTCCAGCAGAGGGGTCACTCTTCCCCAGAGTTCCCATGCTTCCATAGCTCTCCTGGAAGGACCTGACCCACTTCCTCCCCAGGGTCACAGTAGAGTCCACTTCCAGTTTCCAGATCAGCCTAGAGAAGTCTAAAGCAAGATTCCAATGCTGAGGCAGCCCCAGACTCCAGAAGACAGGTCCAGTGGTGGGCTGAGGTGGGAGTTCCCCGCTGTATCGTTTTGTCTATAGAATGGTGTGGCTTTTTCTTTGGGAAACCGATCTGAGATGGAGTTCAATGTGCTGTATGTTTAGTAGGGACATTTCTAAAGGATGCAATGTCCATGGTATCAACACCCAGGGAAGGTAGTGAAGAATTGGGCTTCACCTTGTCTGATCCCATGGAGAGCTCTAAGCTAAAACAGCCCATTAGAGTTGTCCTGCACAGAACCTAAATAGCCTCTACCAGTGACCCAGGCTGGCTCCCTGTATCTGACAGAGAAAGGTTGTCTACAGCAGCCTTCTAGGAGCTAGGGATCTGGCTCATCTCATCCACACAAATGGCAGGTCCATTGGCCATTGGTCAGCCCGCTGCACCTGGGTCTGTATTTGTTCTTCTACCTGAGTGTAGGGATGAGTTACACGCAGTGGGTCTATTACTAAAACCGAGGCAATGAGAGACAAGAGCAGCCCAAGGTTTAGGGTAAACTGGTAACCCCAGGCTCAGGAAAGCTGACCAGAGTGGACAAAAATCTCATCTTTGTGTGTCCCACTAGCACCATAGTGGGGGGAGGCTTCAGAGGAAAGCCTGTGTATAAAACCCCAGGGCAACAAGATTCACTGGGCTAAAGTTGAAAGACGTCTTATTTCTAGGGGAGCAGGAGAGCCCACGCCCTTCCAGCCAACGCCTCTGCATCTCAGGACACTACATTCCCAGGATGTTCTGAAGTTGTCCTCGGGAAGTACAAGTGAGAGATTTCGCCCCGTGGATTTTCCAGCAATCACACGTACAAAAATACCACACAGGGTCTGTTGTGCCGTCACTGCTTCACAAATGCCAGCTGTCTGTTAGCTGTAGACGTGCGTCACCTTCAGGATCAAGAAAAGTGAAGTTGTGTGCTTTCATGCAGATCAGGATTCATACCCGCCCAGTTTCCAGTCCACGGAGATGTCCACCGCAGTTTCAAGTTCCCGTAAAGTTCTGAGAATACTTCTTATTGTCTCTGATTAGTTAACAAGTCCCAATCCTGAATCAATTACTGGGGCCAGAAGGAGCTCTGCTACGTGTCCTCTCGGAACCTAAGGTCCATTTCATTCACTTCTGAGATCTGACTT